GATAAGAGATGCTGCTCTAGTTTACCTTTCCTGACCGCCGCCCTTATTACTTCTCACTTGTCGTTCTTATCTATGTTCTCACTAACATCCAGGATAGATGGTATAGGGATGAAAACCCCCTCATTTACCGTTTACACAGAAAAATCGAAAATTTTGATTACCCTCTGCATCATGCGTCATTACTCCATGCTCGGAGGTGCTACCGAGACTCCAGCACTTCTTCCTCCCATCCACATCTCCTTTTCTCACTTTCCACTTCTTCTCCCTCCTCTCCCAACCATCCATCTCCCTTTCATCGCTCCAGAATGATGGCAAATGCATCTAGAAAAAAGAGCATGAAAAGAGGAGGGAAATCGGACCAGACTGCGGCGCCGGTTTGAAGCTTAAGGGCTATAGAAAATCTAGAGAAAAGACTATGAACCCATTTTTTGCTTGTGTATTAAACTTTTAAGGTGACTAGGGCCAATTACAATTCAAGAATCGAAGCAATATCATAAACAATATTATATTGATCCATAGAAGCTCTCGCACATTGAATTTCGACATTAAATATGCAAGAGCATATGAAGTAATAAACAACACGGCACTTGGTCTGAGAGTGCTTATCGATCTATCGAGCGCTATCTATAACGCAGTGGCGTTCCAAGCCCCCTCCCCCCCCCCCCGAGAATGGGTCGCGAAATCTTTGATAGTTACTTAAATGTGTTATAAAAATGTGCAAGCGACTTGTTTTTACTTGTAACTAATTAAAATGATTCTTAAAAAAATTTTAAAAATTCAAGTTAGCCTTATAAAAGAATTTTTCGGGGTGGCTTTGGGGTCAGGGGCCCGCAAAAATTTTGAGAAGCATCCCAAAAAAATTTTGGAGTGCGTGGCTAACGCCATGCACCTTCATCCGAAAAAGAATTTTTGCCCCCCCCCCCCCCCCGATCCAAAGCCCTGGGTACGCCACTGTTATAACGGTAGACCAGCAACCCAATTAGAAGTCTGAAAAGTGGTAAGTACTACCCATAATTCTTTTGTGTATCATGACTTATAATAATCAGCTATTATGCGGTCCGTCAGTTGGTTTGTTTCTGAATTACATGAGGATTGATTTTTATTGCTGATGGATGTGAAAGCTGCATAACAAGTAAGGTTCATGATTACTCAGTTTTCTTTCGATTGAAGATTTCGATTGTTTGAAAGGACAATACCATTACGTGATTTCATCCAACACATTCTATGATATTCAGCGCGAACCTGTGCAAAGCAAAGATGAAGCACTGGCATTATTAAGGCTGGTTGGGGCATTATTTTGGCCCAGAAGATTTTAAATGTTACAGAAAAAAATGCCTGCAGTTACACGGTAATATCGAAAAAGATTTGAAGAGAACAATGAACTATCTGAGCAGAAATCAATTCGATCACGACATGGAGGAGGAAGGTAGAGTAGCTAAATTTTCTCAACAAGTTCTATAGAAACTATGCTCCAGAGACGTATGTAAAATGTACAATTTATATGCATACATTTCTTTTTGATGTTCGCAGACATTTGCGCGGCCGTAAATGGTGAGAAACCATCTGGACTGCGCAAAAGTTGACTTCCTACAAGGCAGGACAATTTCACATTTCAGTTATAAAATTTATGACTCGCAGATCACAATTTTCAATACGGTTCTCATGTATTCTGAACTTGTATGTCTCCATTTCCTGGATTACTTGTCTATCCATTCATCACATTGCATTTTTAGGAGAATAAAAACAGGTTCCAAAAACATTCTCAGCCTGTAGAGTTTCGTATTTGTATGTCAAAACGGTACTTTTGATTAGCTAGCAATTTTAACCTGTATGAGTGACATTTAATGGCCAGACTTTGCTTGAGGCATTACTTTCACTCTTTCAGTTGCCCAGAAAGTATTCAGTTCGCTTTATGCAAGACTGATAGTGAAACTGAATAAAAGGAGGATTAGAAATTTTGATATCAGTGCAGTGAATGTTCTCTAAAAATTCCCAAAAGCTTTTTCTATCACCATTGTTGCTACATTCTCGGAAAAACGTCTTAGAAGTGATTGAATCAATTATTGTTAACTATTTATTTCGTCACATGGATGTGATTACTACTACAGCCTTGAATTTGCACGAGCTTTGAAAGTTAAGCAGCAACTCTCGCATGAGCTCGTACTGTGTATAGAATTTTACTTCTAGATGGTTTCACTTGTAGTTACATTGAACCTTCTCTGAGCCCTAAAACTATTGATAGAACGGCGCAGCGGTGTTCTGTCCTACACGTCGGCATCCACACATTGCCTTCGGCCTCTTGCAGTAGGAAGTTGAACGCAGTGTCCCGGCAGATTCGCGCCGTGGGGAATGTAGATGTGGTGAAGTTTTTGGCCACCCCACTAACCTCCATGCCATGTCAGGCTGGTTGATGTTCATCCTTCGCCGAGAAGGTAGCCCCCGAACCTGCGCGCGCAACCCCAACCGGCGCGCGCTGGACGGCTTTGCTTGCCTATTCGGCGGGGAACCCACGACGGCTCCCGTATATTGCATGCGGGAGGGGGTACGAAGGCCGCTGGTTTGAGCCGCCTTTCGCGGCTAACTGGTCCTTTTAATGTGTCGTGCACGTCGTTTCAGGACCAGTAGTCTGCGGAGGCGCTTCAAACAGGCGGCTTTCGTTCCCTTTCCTAATGCATGCTAACCAAAGCAAAAATTCAAAAATTACAGGCGGCAGGGTCTCCATGTCGTGGCCTCCCAACTTTCCGTTAGAACGCTCGTCGGAACTGCATTTTGGAAATTGGGTAAACGCCCCAAAATCGGTCTTTTCACTCCGTTCAAAGCTCAAATTCGGGTTCCACGTGTCGAAAAGGCCTATAACATGCAGAAACAACAGAAAGGTGTAAGTGCAAAATCTGCCGGGTCACTGCCTTCCTGTTCTTATTTTTGCTCACATCACTTCTATGTAATCAGTCAAAGATATTTTGAGAGCATATGAAGCACTCATGTGGTACAATTATTGTCCTCTTTGAGCATAAGCATGAATCATTTGTAGAATGTACGAAACTATTTTCCAGATAAGTTATTGATCAAGTCTAGAATTTCGAAGTGTGAGTAATTTCAAAGAGAACACATTTCGTTAGGTTGATGCAAAAGTAGCAATCCCTCCCTAACTGGCGCGGCAGAAAAGATATGAAAATGTTTGACATATCTTTTGATGAAGCAAAGCGAGCTCTCAAGAATGTTTGAACAATTGCAAAAAAGTTCGATACACGGGAACTTTGAAAGAAGAATCTAAAAATTTCAAATGTTCAAAAACCTAGTACCTGTTCAGATTTTATGTTACCCACTGGCGCTTCTATGTAGTACGCAAACCCTCAGATCTTTGTATCTGTCGGTGGCTAGGATGAGCTGATGTTATGTTTATTTGTCTTTTTTTTCGGTGCACCCTGAGTGTATAGTACAAATAAACAAATAAACAAAAAAAAACTTGAAAATAAAGATTGGTATGCTGCAAAAGCATTGCTGCTGTGCCTACATAAGGAATTCTATACTACAGATCTTTAGGTACGACAATTTTTTAGCCTTCTTTAGAAGTTGGTTGTCAAGAAATATCAAATTCATAAGAACCCGAAAAAGCCGATATCTTCTTATTTTGGCCTAGTCTTGAATTTCGACTTCCAGCTAGACGAAAACTACGGCAAATGTACACCTTTTCAGAGGGAGATCTGATTGAGTTTTTCAGTTTTTTTTTCTCAATTTTTCAAATTTCAAGTAGACCGAATCTATTGCGGTTTTTTAAACGTCATTCTTGTAGAGCTTACTCTGCTTTATCAAATGATACGTTCCATACATATTCATTTTTTCCTCCCGCGGCGAAATGGGAAACGTTCAGTACTTTTGCATCAGTCAATGATTCATGCACTAGCGGAAGGAGTGAATCAATATTACTGATGCAGAGCATATATCTAAGAGGTGAAAGAAAAGGTGGTGAAAGAGCCTCCCCTCCCCCATAACATCCGAAAAAAAATTGCAGCCAAAATCTACTAGTGAGCCGACCGCTACTGCAAGGCCCAGCGAGTTAGGCTATCTTTCTAAGGTGGGTGAAATAGAAATGATTCTATATAGTCTTTGATCCGGTCCACAGCTATCTTACAAGGGAAGCATGTTTGATCGAAGTGGCCTTTTTAGATGGGATGTATGCCATATTGAAGGGCATAGCCGCTTTCAAATCTGCCTTCCTTATCCGCAGAACGTTCATGGACGAGGAGTTATAAGCGCTTTTTGGAGCAAAAAATTGATTGTGCAAGTGGGACAAAAATGCCGTAATACTTCTCCAGTTCTTCAGCGGAGCACTGACAATCATCAGAGCACTTTATTCAAAAAATACTCTAAGATAAAAGATTATAACACACTTGGTTGCAACATTAGAGGGCTAATAAGATTTTGACAGCTCATTTTATCCAAAATGCACACTCAAATTCCTGCTTCAAAAAACGCTCATAACTCCTCGTCCATAAACGTTCTGCAGATAATGAAGGCAAATTTGGAATCAGCGTTCGGTGCCATTCAATATGGTGTACATTCCGCTAAAATAGCCCAACTCGACCAAACATGCTTTTCTTGTAAGAGGGGCTGTGCGTGCTCATGATGACATGCTTTTGATCAACACAATTTGGGGTACAAAAGGTGGAGAAAGAGTATTGACATTACCAAGCTTCAAATGTTTGAAATTGCTTTTCGCGTATTAGCTAAAGGGGCAGAGTTATGAAAAATGAGCAAGCAGGGTAATTGCTTACCGCTGAATCTTTCCTCTCAACCTGTCATATCGTTTCAAATGTGGTTTTCTTGCTCGTTTGTCTTTTTTTCTCAATAGAACAACTGCCATAAAGCACTTTTGAGTTTTAACCAGCTCTGTCGTAATCATATACTCCTTTTCACGCTTTGGGAAATTTGCTCAACTCATTCACGGAACAGGTCTGCTTTATGAATCGCTAGTATAATTTCAATTTTCTAATTTTAGTATGCGAGTACTTATCGCAGTCTTGCTGATCGTGACATCGGCTACAGGTTACGATGCTGTAGTTTTCTCAAGTATAATGGAAATTACGTAAGTTCATGTATACTCTGATTCTTGTGGCTTCTTTGGACTGCTATTTTGTCAATTAGTAGCAAGCATTCACATTTATGTTACCTTTGCCTGCATTGATGTTGTCAGGAGTTTTATCGTCCCAACCCGCAAACTTACAGGGAGAGGATACTTAGTCGAAAGCACCAATCCAGATGACGCATGTATCATCTGGACGTGCTCGGAGCGCTGATTTCAAATCTGGCAAAATCAGCTGCGGAGCGCCTTTGGGCAACGAGTTATGGTTGTTTTTGTGAAGAAAATTTGAAGTCGAGGGAAGAAAAAAATTATACGCAGAAGTCTCCAGTTGGGCTCGAATGGGGGAGTGATGTCTGTCAGATTACTCTGCGCAAAGAGAAATGTCTGTCTGCTACACACACCTTTAAAATGAGTCTGTCTGCAAAATATACATGTTGTAACAATCACTTTTACTCTCTTTACCCATTGAATTTTTTGGCTCGAAACGGTCATAGCTCCTTACCCAAAGGCGCTCCGCAGCTGATTTTGCCAGATTTGAAATCAGCGCTCCGAGCAGGTCACAATGATATATGTCTCATCTGGATCGGTGCTTTCGACTAAGTATCCTTTCCTTGTTAGTCCTACTCAGAAAGTCTGCCATTGCTGTTATCAAAGCGGTGCTCTTGGATGCAAAGCGACCACTAGAATTATGTCATTCTCATAAGAGCACAACCATGAACCTCTGCTGTTTTCTGTGGATCCCGCCTACCACACGTCATGTAGCAGTAATTATGGAACAACCACTTCTCAGAATATTATGATAAACTAAAAGTAAGTATCTACTTCTCTAGATAAATCAAGCTGTTTTTATTGTCCTAGCAGACTTAGGACATTTTTCGATAGTAATGCGAGCTCTACAGAATGACCATCGGAGATCCACCTAACTCGCAGATCATTTAAAGTTTGAAGCTAGAAACAAAAAAAATTTTGTTTTCTAGAAATTGTATCTTCGTACGAGGCTCAGGACGTTCGTCATGCAGAAGATACATAGCAGTAGTCGTAATGCATCCGTTGATTTATTTTGCGCGTAGAAAACGAAAAAATAAAGTAGTCCAAAGTTTCCTCCCCCTTCTTCCTTCTCCCAAGCTCTTTTCACATATGTGATTGTATACTGAATAACTGAATCAGCCTTTCAAGCTGTTTTACATTGTATATTTCTCTCTCCAGAAAACCGAGCTAAGTCAGGTGCTTTACCTTGGAAGATATCGAGATTAACACTGTTTTCAAACTATTTTGATCCTTGCTTGTTCCACCACTTTGATGCTTCTGTTTTTTAAGGAATGACTATCCAAGCATGGAAAACCTATTGTCTACCGCTACACCTGGATTACCTCTAGTTTTTATTGCCAATCCCGACTTTACTTTGGGTACGTTGATGCAGTATCTTACCGCTTATACTTCTGTTGGCGTAAAAACCTAATTTGTTCTATTATATTTTAACGAAGAGTTCTATAAGCTTGTGCTATAAAAAAACTTCAGCTATTCAGGTATTAGGACCGCATACAATACCGCTCATAATATAAAAAAAAAAGTCACCGCACTCGGGCGCACTGCCGGAGTCTAAAGGAGTCCGCGTCGGATCGCCATATCCCGCTTCGAATGGGCGACATTCTGGTTCCAAGGACATGAGGCGCATATTCTGGCATATAGAAATGCCGCAGTTTGGGCTATGGTAGGTATACGATAAGCAGTCAGTTTTCACTAATTTCTTCAGATTTTTGCTTAGGTGATACTCATTTTGCTGATAACGACTCACATTGATTTGCTATCGGTGGGACACTGTAAGGATAGTAGGAGTACGGCAGAAGTCATTTTGCTTGGATTTGTTCTAAAATCTGCTCGATGTAAATATCTGACCGCTGATTGCGGTAAGTACAATCATTTGATGCTAGTGGCACGTGAGCAACACACGTTTACGATGTAGGATAGATTTACTCGGGCGGTGTCTGTTACGCTGCTTGTGGGGGCCCGTTCCAAGAATAAGAGTTGATGTTTAACATCATGGGTTGAGAGTGCAGTTGATGTTAATATAGGACTGTGCTATTATGAAGGTCAGTGAGTTTGGGTTATTGCTCACGCAATACGCCAAAAAAACTTCCTCGTTTATTTCCCCTGTCAAATTCCTCTGCCATTGAATACTAGCTTACAGCTAGTTAATGAAATTCTGAGAATTGCAAGTTTATCCTTCCTTTGAGCAGTTTAGAGCCTTGCGGTGTCGTGCGTGATAATATTTGCCAATACGACCTTCGCGATCTGAGCCCTATACAAAGCGCATATGTGATTTGGCTGTGTCTAGTAAAAATTTATCGCGTACGTGATTTCGTGACAGTGTAGCGCAGCGCGCATGGTACATGTAGATGTCCGTTGAATATTTTTCGATAGGGCTGGATCCACTATACATCTCCGATAAAAATGGTTGGAGCCTCTTTTCCGAGACTGGTTTTTTGAACTTGCAAAGTTCACGAAATATTCGTACACCATCATAAGTCCTCAGTAGCATCCTGAAAAACGGGATTGACATTAATACTGTGATCAGCATGCCTTACGGGCAACTTGAGTCGAGTTTTGCGCTTATCTGAGATCTTCGATTATAATATGCGCGCAGGTATATGTATGGCGCAGCTCAATGCTCCCTAGTGATAGAAGGCTAATATAGGCTTTATTTGATAGAATAGCCTCTTCAGTTTCCTGATGACAAGAGAAATTTTCACGTAAGGGAGAAAATGACTGGCAAACTTTGGAGGAAAATTATCATTTCTCCACCCATAAGAAGCTGACTTGCAAATCAGGTGTGATTTTTGTTCCAGGTCGAGCACCTATGGTCAAAGTATCCGAAGAAATCGGGCTTTAAATTATTCTCGTTCCTCGTTCTTTACTTGTCGCAGGTTTTGACTGAAATTTTGATGATCTCGGATTGAGCAAAAATCGCTCACCATCTCGGATTCACCGTATATGAATCCCAGTTATTATTATATATTTTGCCCGCAAGTGTTTTACGGTAAAGTTACAGTGCTAAACCACGCAAGATCGCAAATTCACTTGCATTTTTCGTCCATTCGTTAAAGGATTTGCCTGCATACTTTTGGTCAGAGTTTTTATATACAGTGCTATAGGACTACTGTCTACTACAGTAATCTAGAAGTAGGGCGAGGGCTCATGCGCTGCGCAGGGTGCAGACGCGCATTTTCCAACATCACCACTCCTTTCATTCGGCTTCAGTACTTAAAGTGCTAACTGTTTCAAACGCATATGTTCAAAAATGGCTATCTGCCAATCGCTGAATCTTGATATTCTGTCCCCCAATTCTACATTCCTCCAGGTTCTTTCCTGCAGATGAATCAAGTCTCCGGATACTTTTTTTATTTGCCTTTTTTCGTTCTCAGTGACTTACTGATCTTGAAGCTGTCCTTCTTCTAGATTCTAGTCATAATCATACTACTCGGTTCTTGCTTTGTAGCTTTGTAGGATTCTAAAGAATAAAAGAGAAGGTGGAGACATCTGTTTGAATCAAAGAGGGGAACGAATTGAATGAAAGCAGAAAGTGCTGGTGGGCGAGAGAGACAGTGGTTGGTTGCTTATGCGGTTTCACTCATCGCGGACGTCATTAAATACCAACTCGCGCGCGGTGAAAATTATTGCACCTTATACCCAAGAAATACAGTATACGTTCCCATTGGTTTTATCTAAACTGAAAGATGGAGAATTTAGAAGTAATAAGTCAAGAGCACACGTATGACACGCTGTACAGATACCAACTTTGCTGCACAGGACGGCCTCATTACAGGGAGTTAACCCTCATTCTTAGAACGAGCACTTGGAAGTAGTACCCACAAGCAACCTTACACATCCAGTAAATTCACCTTACATCGTAAAAACCTACCGCGTTCCTGTGCACTATGCCATTAGCACAAATGGTTATAATTACAGCAAACAGCGCATCAGATAATTGAAATGATCGGATTTTGGGTCGAACCCGAGCAAAATGACCGTGCTCCTACAGTATTACCACAGTGTGCAGCAGCAAAATAAATGTGAATGTGTTGTCGGCACATCGAGTAATCACCTAAGCAAAAAACTGAAGAAACTGGTGAAAAATGACTGCTTACAATGAACCTTAGTCCGACATATAGTGGCATTTCTAACTTCCAGAAGTTTCCTTGGATTCAGAATTCGCCCATTTTGAAGCGAAATATGGCGATGCGACGTGTATTTTGGTGAACCTCGGCGGAGTGCGCCGAACCGGCGCATACCCTATTTGATATTTTGAACATGTGATGAAAAAAGTGAGTTAAATTTTAAAAAATCTTTGGCAAAGCCAAGAGATCTCACTACTTCCTTTCTTGTGTATTATCAGACAAATCCAGCGCTAGCGAGTTGAATTCTCACCCAATTTTCGATACTTCCTTCCAAAAAAAAAACAAATGTTTTCAAAGATGAGGAAGAGGGGCTGGACCGTCATGATCCTAAAAACAGCGATTCATGACAATACGCTCTTGGCCACTTGAAGAGCCACTTGATAGGTGTGGAACCGAAAATTTGGATATTCGGAGCACTGGGGAAAGAGTTCAGAGTGTGCCTACATGCAGATCTTTCCATGTATGCTGCCTCTAGACGCTTCCTTACGAAAAAGAATTGCGAAAGTGAGCGAAAATGCCCTGAAATTCTGTCAAAAGAGGCTTCACAGATACGGAGGACACATCGAATATTACAAAAGTGCAGTCACTGTAAATAACTTACCCAGCTTCAATAAAATCCACTTGTACTGCTCGTGCTAATAATTTCAGTCTTTACATTTCAGTCTTGAATTTGGAACATATTCTTGAAGTTGAACATTTACTTTCAGGTCAGTTTTCTCGAGAAACACGAGCATACGCAACAGATGGAGCCTTGACTGGACTACCAGCTATTGCTAAGTTGAACAAATATCATGTTAGCCGATACCTTGAGGACAAAGTTTCCGTAAGAAGCTCTTTTTCCTAATTTCTGTCGTAATTACCATGCTCAAGGTTCTCAACGCAACAAAAGTCACTTCCGCTGACGAATTCAGAAAAGGCAATGCTATTTATCTCATCACGGGCGATGAGTGGACCAACATGCAGTTATTAGCTGTGGAGGTTCTGTCCGAATTAAAAGGCAATTACATTGCTGTCATTACTGCCACAGAAGCTGTTGCTACTGAAGAGGTGGTTTTGTTTTTAATGATTCAGCGTGTTGAGTCCATATAACAGGAACGAACGAAGCGAGCCGCTCTTTATAATACGAAAGATATGACTGGATCGTTATCCGCAGGAAACGGTGAGTGCACTTATTTTGCGCAAGAAAGCACTGCTTCTTTTTCATTACGAGCGTGTATGGAGAGTCCTTGAGCACTGCCCTTGAGTAACTTAAGCTCAAAGGCAGCGTCGGCGAAAATGTTGGGCACTGGAATTTTATAACATTGGAATGGCAGAATTCAACCCCCCTCCCCCCCCCCCTTAAGCTAATCTAACGAAGTCTGGAGCGAAAAAGCGCGTGTGGAAAGCCTAGAACCCACTCCGGAAGCCTTTCATACTCTGCCCACTCGTTTCGAAACTCGTCTAATTACGTATTCCACTGAATGCGAACCTGGAAAGTTTCGTTCAGAGCTTCTTCAACCAATCTGCGCTGCGAAGCCCGATGTGGGCTCAAATGACGAGAAGGCCTGGAAAGGTAGAAACAAAAAAGTGAGTCTTTGACGGCACGCCTTCAATGCTGGGATTGCCGTCTACCGCAATCGGCCTGCTCCAGTTTGAAATGAATGAGGGGACTATATACCGCAGCGCGACCCACCTGCTGGCTTTGAAGCATTGGTGAAACAACCGCAATTAAAAGGTCAAAAATACAAGCCAAAGCCAGCGCAAAGGCGCAACCCGCTTAGCGAAAATACATACCGTTTGGGAGTATTACGAAAGTGAAAGTATACAAACTGTGTAGAACTGTATGTAATCATGGAATGCATGATTACATTCCATGATGAAATGTAGCCTCAAATAATCCGTCCAAATTGTACTTTATTTCACTGCTGCTAGGTACTTACTTCTTATTGTTAGATACTCAGATGGCCCTTCCTCACGTGACGTGCGGGCCCCAGTACAGGCTCCCGCCAGAGTGCCGAAGCCGCGCTAGCTCGTCGTCGGCGCAGCGCCGGCGACGAGCTAGCGCCGAGCCGTCCCGGCGGCTGTTTCCATCGATACACGTGCTTTCGTTAGGGGCGGGACTAGCGGACCTAGTTCTCAGACAGGTAAATGCACCGAATATTGATCGAAATCTCTGTCAAAAGCTCCGGTAGCCCTGGCCGGCACAGGGTCAGCGTCAGCTAGCCCCACCCCGAATCAAATGCACTGATCGATCGTAACGCTCGGCGCTGGCTCGGCGCCGGCGCTGTTTCGATCGATGCAGTGCTCTGGCGTGGCTTCGGTACTCTGGCGGGAGCCAGAAGTCTCCATCGGTCCCTCTCTCGCTTCAAACATCCACGATCTTCTTGGTCGTCCCCGGAGCCTGCGTACACGAGTCCCAGGGGCGGAAGTCGTATCCACCTGATTTTTCAACTGGTCCATCCGTTCCACGGACACGTCTGCCCTTCTCCTTGGAATGTTCCTCGGGGACGTTTCGCTTCGCGAGGAATTCACTCCGATGTTCTTAATGTCCATCTGTCGTCTGTTCTTCTCAAGATGTGACCGGCCCATCGATGTTTTGCATTCGCAAAGTATTCCGCTGGGTCACAAAGACAGGACATTCTTCTCAAATCCGTACTGCGAAGTCCGACAATATGTTGCTTGTGTCGAAATGTTTGAGTCGAACAGGTGGACACGAAGCTCCGGGTTTCCCTCAGAGGCCCAAAGGCGGCTCAGGCTGCTTTTTGTTTCTCCTGTTAAGTTCTTTCCTCGAGACGTTCATGTTCATCGAACGTCCAAGATAAATATAAATAGAGGTCTCCATAATGAGGTGTCTTCTAATTAAATTTCCGCATCTTTTCAACGGGCGTTGTTCATGAACTGAGCCTTTTTTGATTTATTCCCAGACCAATCTTTTTCACTTCGCTTAATTCCTTCAGCATCGTCTCTGCTTCAGTAATACTACTCGAAAAGAGAATGATGTCGTCCGCAAAACAAAGGTTGGACAGGAATCTCCCATCAACTCGTGTGCCTCTCTCGTCCCAGTCTAGTGATTTCATCACCCACAGTAAGGCCGCAGTGGACAGTTTCGGCGAAATAGTGTCGCCTTCTTGAACACCCTCCCCAATTGGAATGGTCAGGAGGCGATGGGATAGCTGCATCGTTATTGTATAGTCCTTATAGCAGTCGGCTAGTGTCCTCACGTCCTCACAGGCTGTGTCCACTCCTTGATCGACTAGCGCAGACAGGATGGCGTTGGTGACGCTCAAAGCCTTTCCTCGACGAAGGTTAGGACGAGAGGCAGTCGGTACTCCCGACAGACTTCTATGACCCTCGAAACCGTCTGGATGTGGTTTATGCAACTGAATCCTTTGCGAAATCCAGCTTGGTTGGGCTTCATCCAGTGTCTTAAATATGCGAGAGAGGATAATCTTCGTGAAAAATTTGTATAGCACACTCAGCAGGCACATTAGGCGATATTCCGAAGATCCTCCTTTTCGCCCTTCTTGAAGAGAAGGACTTCTTGACGTTCTCCACTGGTCGGAAATCTTCTTTTTCTGAAGGTAGGATGTTAAATGCGACGCTTGATCCTCGTGTAGACTGTGTTCTCCGGCTCGCAGAAGTCCGACGGAAAGATAATCTGGTCCTGGAGCCGTGGACGTCTTCACGGCATGTATCGCGCTGGAGAAGTACCACCACGAATTCTAGCCAGTCAAACCAGTCGTAGTTTTACATTGAGTCCTCTTCGATGGGTCGGTTACAACTTAATATGAGCTTTTCCAGCCTGCTACTGTCATAAACGATTTCCTCCCCTCTCGTGGCACTGTGACAGACTTTCTTCTTGGCCTTTGACTGAATTTTATCTTTTATCTTCGCTCGAAGGAGGGAGTGATCAGAGCTACTGCAGAAGGATGGAACTACTAAGACATCGAGCAAGCTCCACCTTCGGTTGGTGAGAATGTGGTCGATCTCCGCCCGAGTCATTCCGTTGGGCGATTCCCAAGTCCACCGGCAATGTTCCTTCTTCATGAAGATGGAATCTCCATGGAAAAGTCGTGTGGCGGAGAGAAGCCCAACGAGACGGAGTTGCCGTTTTCGTTTCAAAGCCCATATCCAAACTTCCCGATCCTATATTCCTCTTCTAGTGGCATCTCGATCTTCGCGTTGATGTCGCCCACAATGAACTTGTAGAAGGATTTCTCGTTGCGGACGACGTGTTCCATGTCTTCGTAGAAAGCATCTAATTTCGATTCGTCAGCTGCTGATATTGGTGAATAGCAGTCGATGATGCTGATGGTCTTCTGTCGTGGAGGTCGCAGTCATAGGATGGCTAGTCAAGCTAAGGATCTCATTCGAATCCACAAGTTGGACGATGGATGGGTGCACGACAAAGCTAACGCCTCCAACGTTTCATGATGGAAATTCTTCACGAATGATGAGGGTCCCATTACTCATCTGTCGCACGTCCTTCTTCCTGGACTTCGTTTCCTGCAGAGCGATGATTGGTCTTGATGTGCTCTCCAGCGTCGAGAAGAGCGTGGAGGTCGGCGTTTGTAAGCTGTCGTGGCAGGTTGTTACAGGTGCAAAGCATAAGGCCTAAGGCATACTTTCCGCGACTGCGTCAAATCGCTACATCCGCGCGACTTGGCGTTTTGCCAGATGTTCACAGATCAACCGTGCGCGAGTGCCTGATGTATAGGCGTGTAGCTTCTGTAAGTTCTCGCAAAACTATTTAGTCTGGCCCAAGCAAAGTGCGCTTACGAAAAATTATGAAGAGTCGCCGCAGTGCCATATCGCGCAGCGGCTGGAATCGCGTGAGGTATGCCTTAGGCCTAAGGCAGTCTCCAAGGCGTGTCGTCCCAGATGTGTCGTTTTTGTCCGATCCAAAAGGCGCCTTAAGGCCCTGACATCGTTCTTGCTATCACCCGGTGCGGAGTTTCTTTCTATTCTTTTAAGTGGCGGAGTGATATAAATGGTTCCTCTACAAGAGCAGGCTTACTAGGCTAACTCTTTATTTCCACGGGGCGATCGCTGACCCGCGTGTGGAGCGGAGAGGACCGTCTAGCGACCGAAAAAGTCGGACGGCGGTGGATCTACCCTGACCGGCTCTTAGGCATCCGGCCGAAGCCGAAAACGTCGAACTTCACTGCTTAGGAGGCCCTACCAGAGTATACATTCGGCTGTGCATCGCAGTACGAGACCCATTGTCACCCCCACGCCACGTTGAGGCAACCGACCATTGTGGGGCTGCTGCTAATTAAAAACAGTATATCCTTCTCTGCCAAAGTCCTGTGTAATATTCATTGAAGCGGTATTTTTTTACGTTATTTAAAGTTACAAAGAGACCTTTTTGGTAGCTCCGACTTCCTGTAACATTTTGTTTCTTTAGAACTTGAGTTCGACATGCCTTTGAACTTACCTCCGTACAACAGAACGGACTTGTCAAATCCTGAAAAGTGAGTAGAGTTTCAATAGCTTTCCGTATATATGAGCTTCTCAGTATATATGAGCTCTACAAAACAGCGGAAAAACATTAAATTATTAGGTTGTCCAGAAATTAATGCCGGTTTTGAATTTCAACCGCAATAAGTCATACACTTCTCATTTCTAAATAGGTTACAAAGTACCATTCAATAGAGCAAAGCAAGCTCTACAAGATGGCCTTCTTGCTTTTGCAACAGCTCTCACCCACCTCGAGTTTCGAGCCAAAAACTAAAAAGACTCAACAGCCCGAAAAATCGAAAAAAAATCGTAACTCAGTTTATAAAAATCCTACAAAAATTCTTACTTGCTCACGTAAACACTATCCACATAAAACCTCTATATACGCCTTTGCCGCATTTTTTTCTCCGTTAGAAATCAAGAAAACGGAAATTTTCATGCATTTGCCAAAGTGATGCTGTGCCGTTCCCACATAATAGTTCTATACTACAGACCTGTAGAAGTACAAACGTAAATTCTCAGTTCTCTACGAGCTTTAGTCCTCAAGAAATTTGAATTTTAGCTTGGACCACCTAACTAGGGAAAGCTATATTCGGTATTTCTGAGAACTAAAGCTTGTAGAGAGCTGAAAATTTGAGTCTGTACCTCTACGGGCTTGTGGTGTACAACTACCTATGTGGGGATGGCTCAGCATCACTTTGGCAAATGCACGAAAATTTCCGTTTTCTTGGTTTCTAACAGAGAAAAAAATGCGGTAAGGGCGTAAATAGATGTTTTATGTGGATAGTGTTTACGTGAGCAAATAAGAATTTTTGTAGGATTTCTATGAACTGAGTTAAGATTTTTTTCGATTTTTGGGGTTGCTGGGTCTTTTTAGTTTTTGGCTCGAAACTCGAGATGGGTGAAAGCTGTTGCAAAAACAAGGAGGCCATCTTGTAGAGCTTGCTTTGCTCTATCGAATGGTGCTTTGCAACCTATTTAGAAATGAGAAGTGTATGACTTATTGCGGCTGAAATTCAAAACGGGCATCAATTTCCGGAGAACCTAATATATTAGGCTGTCAAGAAGATGTAGTTTTTATTTGCTTGCTTTAGCAAAGCAACCAAGCTGAACCCAAAAAAAGGTAGGGGATAGTTTTCGATAGAGCAAAGCAAGCTCCGCAAACTGGCAATCATTATTAGGCGCCAGTTCGAAAGGCGCCACGGAAAGTCTGCAAACAAAATTCAAAGGTTTCTTAATCCCCCAAAGAATCGGAAAAATCGAATCTCCGTCCAAATAATTCCTACTAAACTCCCGCTTGCGTACATCAAAACTTTGATATCAGATATTCATATGTGCAGCTTCTGTATTTTTTCCTTAACCAGTGAGATGAAAATTTTTGTGATATCATCAAAACAATGCCGGCCGTTCTTGCATATGCAGTTCTTTACCACAAGCCTAGAAGTATGCAAGTGGGAGATTCGTAGAAACTATTTGGAAGAAGATTCGATTTTTTTACGATTTTTTGGGCGTTTGGAAATCCTTGGAACTTGTGTTCAACTTTCCGTGGATCAAACTTGGAGCAAAAACATGTATGCCAGCTTGTATAGCTTGCTTTGCTCCATCGAAAAATCTGTAGGCATTTTTAGATTGTGCATGGTTGCGTTGCCTGAGCGTGCAAATAAAAAACGACATTATTTTCTTAACAATTCAATATCTATTTTCAACCAAGTCAGCAATTTTCGCATCTTCCAAATGTTATTTAGATCCAGATTTGGTTCGTGCATGCTCTACTCTGAGGGAGTAAATATTGTAGTGTGGAAAAATGTATCAGGGACCACCAATAAATTTGCCTCAATACCCGTGCGATGGTTCCCAAATACCACATCTTGGTAATGTTATAAAATTCGAGCATTCGCATAATTCAGTTGACAATTTATTAGGAGTTACGTCGATGGAGATGTCAAATGTGACAACTTCTTTAATGGAACTGACGAGTACGTGCTATTTTATTACCAATGCCCCTCAGTTTTATTTTTTGTTAACATTATTCTTACAAAAAGGTAATATAGGTTTACCGTACGACTGAAACTCAAGACGGATATCATAGATAGAAAAAAGCTCGTTAAAATCAACAAAGGAAGCTCAATAGTTGTCAAGTAGGCTCACTTCTGAATACAAAGCATCTTTCTGTTATATTACTGGGTAGTTCCAAATACAAGAAGGTCTCATTGGTCTGTATCTTCACTAATTTTAGGTTAATCTTCACTGGAAATTTGAGGGGCTGGTGGAATTTAACTAATGTCGAATTGAGTGGAGTTACTGTCGAAGACAATGGTGCACACTTTATCTCCGGGGTACAAACTTTACTTCCAATCCCACAGTATCTTTAGCCCGCAACGGTCGAAGGTGAAGTGATATCCAACCAATCAGTATACAATGTTGGTTTCCATAGCGTGATATATCATTCTATGGGCTGCAGTAATACACAAGCAGCCTTTTTCAAAACTAATCTACCAAATGTGCTTATCGGCATATCTCTACACAACACAGAGGTAAGTCTCAACAGGAAAAGTGTTTTGTTTATGAATGCTATGATCTCTAGGTTCAAACATTTGGTGTTTTTCCCGATAAAAAGAGCCGAATGCGCTTCACAGCTCAGGTCGAGGACTGTGTTGGAACGTTTTCAGTGGGATCTTGGATGAGTAGGTTGTTAAGTTAGAAGTTTTTGACTTGAAAACAAAGTCTTTTAGTTATTATTACTTTTCTCGTCGTATTTGGCGGTGTGCTGTTCGGCTACCTAATGTTGAATTCGATCCAAACTACAGATCGGTTCGATGATCCCAAACATGGTCAGATTGTGATCAATGTCAAGGAGTAAAAACACAGATAATGCGAACAAAATTGGATAGGTACACTTAATACGAAATAAATCTCGAATGTACCTGCTATGTGTGTGAAAGTAACTACGCTGGAATGAAAAAGTCGTGAAGTCATGTCCAAGACTTTAAGGTTAATTGCGTAGGTGGATTGAAGAGATAGGTCTTTTGCGAGGTCGACAAAGAAATAATATATTGGGTTGGTGCAAAAGTAATGCGCGTTTTTCTAGCCCTTGTTTCAGGACAATGTTTCTCCACCAAATTTTCTCCTTTGGAGAAAATAAATTATGCACTTTCAAAAAGGTCCTTTTATGCTCTATCCAATGATGGTTGAAGGGAGCTTCTAGCCTTATTCGTTATAAGTTAATTGAGCTTCATACAACCGCACTGGAAACCAGAATTTCGTTACACTTACTTTTTTGGCCGGGATTCAAGCGCTAATAAAGGCATTCTTCTGAATAACTATGGTGTGGGATAGAAATTGTTCACACTAAGCGTACTTTACTTTTTTTTAAAATAAACTAAATTGAGATTTCGGCGCCTCAACATGAGTAATGGTTTTGCCCATTCTGTGGCCCGTAGACCTTGAATACAATCGCCAAAGTCTTGCTCATTTGTGTAAGCGTAAGAGTGGGTCTCCTGTTCACAGTTTCTGCAGAAATGTGGAAGCTGTTCAGTACACAGAAAATCAAATATCTCGTATTTTGGGATTTTGAGGCCTACGAAAAAATGTTAAAGAAAGCAGACAATTTTGAATAGTAATTTTTTTTCCTTTTCGCAAATCTTCTTTGTTTTAGCCCCTTTCGACTTTTTTGTACTACTGGCTTGCGGCTACAAGACAGACTACTTATCATTCACAATAGCAAATTCTGAAGGGAGTTATGATCAGTTAAAAACGAGGTTTTAGAAAAAAAACTTTCTTTGCTTATCAATCCATATTCTTGTGCGCATTGGTGATATGAGCGTAGATGGATGTGCCTGTATTAAAAAATACTTGGTGCCTTCGAAGGTCTTCACACTGAAGAATGTGGATTTTCTAGAAAGTTATAGCACGTCAAAGTGAAAACTCGCAAAACGCGCATTACTTTTGCACCAACCTAATAATAGGAGTTTCGTCGGTATTCAAGAACGGGTTTACTCTATGGCTTTAGCTTATCAAGTAGCTAAGTCTAATGGGTGCTAGTGCAAAGCCTACTACTAACCCTCACGGATTAGAATTACCAGCTTCCTGGATACGCCATTTACATAAATCGATCTCTCGTCTTCAATCTCTGTATATAAAGCAGAAAATCTTGAATGGTAGTAATTTGGCAAACCATGATCCCAACTATGTTCTCATAACACGAGGTAACCAGCAGCTTTACATCGAAATTACGATTTAACTAGTCGACTACCTCAACGTGGACAAATTTTCACTTGATATTAATTCTAGCAAAGCGATGTAATTGAAGCAGATCGAACCTCCAGTCATTCTCATGCTTGACCGCCTTCATCGCACTATTCCAGGGCAGTTCGGTATCTAGTCTTGCATTTTTCCATAATCTTATCTCAGCAGTGATCAAGTGAGCTTCCCTGATGTAACTTTCAAAATGATCTGTCCTCCTCCTAGCTTGTAAAATTACCGTACCACTGTTTCGAATGAAAAAGTGGTCAGGAGTACTTTTTCGCCTTAAACTATCACCTAGTGGTTTCACGTCTGCGTCTCATGCAATAAGGTGCCATTTCATTACATACCCTAACTAATAGCAAAACAACGATTTCAACCTAGTGGATAATTCTCAGTTTGGTTCAAAATGAAACAATCATGGAACAATCATGGTAGTCTCTTGCTTACTTGCGTGTTTCATGATTTTCTACGACCGAATACTGGAAGGTCGGCGGAAGATGATCATAGTTGCTACTACGTAACCACGATTAAACAACAACACATTTCATGTTAATTTCGACCAAATTACTACCACTCCTGCATTATGCTTGTGCACACTCTCCAAAGTCATGAAGGATGAGCAGTGAAGCGCATTTTTGATCTGTTGGCCATAAAGACATGGTAAGAAGAAGGACGGTAAGAAACGAACCCAAGACGAGTCTGAATCAAAAGCAGGATTAGTTTCGCTACCTGAGAAGTTAAGCACGATGGACTGGCCCTAAACTGGAACTCGGGATGCCAGCTCCGGTCCGGGTGGAGCCGGGTTCGCCACCTAGTATCGAATAAGATAACAGCAAGGTGCGGCGATGTGTTCTTGCGAGCTTGCAGGACGTTGTCAGGGCGGTCGAAATACTTCCCTCCAACCTGAAACGTCAATTGGTTCGAAATCGCCCGAATGATCGTACATGCCTAAAAGACGTCGTTTGCCCATTGACAAGGATGGTGATTGCATGCTCATCGGAGTTATCTCCTTCATCACATGTTTATCGTGTGGTAATGTACACATCCGGGAAGCAGGACGCTCTCTTTGCTGCCGCGTCAAAAAACATATGGTTGTTTTAAACAAATCAGGGCTGCGGCTCCATTAGGCAGCCGTAGCATTGTACCACAGAAATGCTGAAATGCGTTTTGCAGTGTCTATACTAGCATACGAGCCCAGCTCCTTGCGATCTCTCTGAAGCCTTGCCGTAAATGAAACCTTGAAAGCGCAAAACCTTGGAATCATTTTATATCACCGCCAAGTACCCAGAGATGAACCGGAAGGAAGAGTACATGACGACCACCAATGAACTCGAGCCGTTTCAATCCCTTTGTAGATTGTAATACGAGGTCAAGTCACCGAGACTATAAGTTGGGAAAGAGGTATCCGATTAGATGGTGGTCTAACACACATTTTCAAGCCACATAAGGTGAGAATTGGTACCCGGTTCTCTCTTTTGCTTTTCGTACTATCTTTAAACTGACCTTCGTCTTGAGCTGTGATATTGGCGCCTAAGGAAATGTTTCGCTCATGTTTTTAACTTTGTGGGCCTTGACAAAGGCGATCTCGCGAATCCCTAGCGTGAATAAAGAGTGGTTAACATCTTGGACTACGCTCATTCAGTTGATGCGGTTATCAAGTATCTGATGCCAAGATCAATAAGAAATCGAAATCGGAAGTTATAAAAGAAGTGTTCATAAAGAGAATTGTCAGTTTTTCTGTGCTTGAATTTGGATGTGTTGGACTCAAGTGTAGCTAAAGCTAAAGCTTTACATTCATATACAGTTGCCGTCAAGATGACGCCAAGACTTTTTCATATCCACGATGTTGGTTGATCCTGTTGAAATTTGAACCTCAGCACCGCCTTCTGGAATACAATACACGAATACCAAGAACTACAAAAATATCTCCAAAGATACTTAGTTTGGAGATGGTCGAGTCTCAAGTTTGCGAAAGATATATTTTTGAACGCTAAACTCTTTTGAATTTCTTCTAGAAGACAAGCAAGCGATCAGAACATAAAAAAACGTATTAGTTTGCGGAGCTCATCAAAATCTTCAATTATATCATGCTCAATACCCAAGAAATTTAAGCCTGATCTTTAAGGAGCACACTTTTGAAGTGCTATGATGACCAAAGGTTCTGGGCCATGTGCAGATGATTTTCCATAGAGTCATGATTTTTGAGCAAGCAATGCAAAACAAAAGTTTGTTAGCTGTTCTTCAAAAACCATGTCTTTGCAAAAAAAACATTCAATCAGCAAGTTTTGCTCGCAATGATCATATAAGCTTTTATTTATTGCGGCTTTCAAATTTTTTCTCTGAAAGCCCTGCAATCATTGTCAAGCGTGCTGATGCAATCCGGGACCCTCATTTACAACTCCCCCCTAAAGATACCCATCCGTACGACCCCCCCCCCCTCTGCCCCCCTCCCTCCTCCTCTTCCTTTTGCGGTAACCTTCTGAAACGAATGTCAATTTCAAGAGATGCTTGCCAATGAACTTCAATCAAAATTATAGGTCAGAGAAAGATAACTACTTACGAATTGGGAGATAATGCAAGTAATGCTTCACCACTCAAAAAACAAATATTTCTACCTAGATTGGGTAAGTAGTAAAATTCTGCAAATTGGCCATGCTTATTATGGGAGAATATGAATGGAAAGGACATCATCTGACAGAGCAGAACATCGATTTTGATTCAAATGGTATTTAAGCTGTAACGGTTCACTTTAGTCATTATAATTGACTATTTTATGATAACTCCTTTTCTAATGAAGGTTAAGAAATATTCCTGCTGTATATGAATGTTCGGCCTAATCCTTTCATGGTCCAATAGTACGGAGGGATATAGACTATGGTTTTGGAAATTAGAACGTTTTAGACTTTAATGACAGTCCCGTGTTCTATCCCCGTACGTGAAAATATTTTTCTGCAGGGGAAAAAAAACGATATCTTTTGAGCGCAAAGTTGTTTTCGACCAAAAACCTTACTTTCTATCTATTACACAGGTTTTCCTGCGAAAAAAACCGTTTTAGCGCTTACGATGCCAAAAACCTGCATGAGCACGGTAATTTGAAAATTCGTAACTAAGGTCAGGGAAAGGCTGAGAGGCTGTAATGAATAGGCTGTGTAGCATTCTGTCCAGATTATCCAAGGAAAGAGTTTCAGCCATTGAGGAGCAGCGAGCTCGAAAAAATCTAGATGCGACTCTCGCAAATTAGATGCGATCCTAAAAAGCAAAAACTGGGATTTTTGAGCTTGAAATTTTGTAACTCACCGGAGAATTAATGAAACTGCCTAAAATTTTTATGATAGAAAGTAGGAGGATGGCCTAGTAATACAGCAAAATTGTAGCGAGCAGGCCATAGTGGCGAAAAAATTTAGATGCGACCCAGATACGACCCCCCCCCCCTCCTTTCCATTTTTTGTTGCCACATATAAAATTCAAAATAATCCACAGGTTATGAATTATAACCAGATTCTGCACATTTGTAGCAGAGCATCTCCAAAGTACAAGTAAATTGTATGGGCCCTTGAAAGACATAACAAAAAAGTTTCAAAAGTTATCGATGATCATCGCTGGTAGAGATGAACGCTTTTGTCGAGAGTGTGAGACCTCAGTGATGCTTCGGAACCAGGATTTCTAGGCCAATTGGTATATT